TGCAGCAGTAGTCGTGAAATATATTTTTCATATCACTAGGGTGAAGAAACTCCAATAATTTCTGATTATCAGTGTTGGTAAGAGCCGGTGTGAAAATGATAAATAACGATGAAGTTTCTTGACCCTAGTGATATGAAAAACACTAGTGAGAAACATATTTCACGACTACTACAAGCCGCGAATATCGCGTTTTTCGCCGAGTTTTACGTAAAACGGGTAGTTGTGAAACTCCAGTGTTATTCATATCACGGGTGTAACTTCGCTATGCGAGAAATATTATTCGCCGAATTTCTACGAAGAACCCTACTACACCACCGGGGTCCTCACTTTTTTGAAAAAAAAATCACAACCCATTTAACGTGAAGTAGCGAAAAACGCGATATTCAACGCGGTGATATGCAGCAGTAGTCGTGAAATATGTATTTTTCATATCACTAGGGGGAAACTTTCTTATTGGAGTTTCACTCGCCACGAAATTCAAACCAGAGTAATACTACCTGTCATAGTGAAGGGTGTATTCTCCTTTAGTACATGTTGTTGAGCCATAGTGATTTCATGATAAGAAAAAACACTAGCAGTGTTGGAGTAGGAATATATGTAATCGCTTTCCTCAGCTGCTGAGCTCAGGAGTTTCCTATACAGTGTTGGAGTAGGAATATATGTAACCGCTTTCCTCAGCTACTGAGCTCAGCTGAGTTTATATACGAATTCGGGTATGAGTGTAATGCAGAAACCAGTAATAATTTCCCATAATTTCCTCATAACTTTTCTATATCGGCGCCGACATATGTAGTTGACCATGTTCATATTTTCCCACTACACTGCTACAGATATTCAAGTGAAAGGACCTCAGAAATTCGATATCGAGAATGACGAACCCACCCGTACGGTGTTATTCAACTATTCCTAAGTTGCGTTGTTTGTATGCCGATGGTGGAGGATGATGTAAAAAGCGCTCGCCAAGAATGCAAGAAGAAATCTCGCTCGCCTATAAATCTACTGGGAGGTTACTTTCATACAGTAGTCGCCCCCTGTGAGTGCAATAGGGCTCAGCTGTTGCTCATCACAATAGCAGATAGAACGTCGGTAAAGTATAAGAGTGAAATGTTTGAATGGAAATAGACTTATACACGTCTGAGATGGTAGATTATAACATGATTCGGAAGCGAAACGTTTATAAACATTAACCAGTCTGTAACGTCCTCTTGGTCGAGCCATTCCCCCCGGTGAGAAACTCAACACTTGTATCTGCGATCGATGATGACTTTGTCATCAGAAGATGTTTCAACTTGTTACCAAAGTCCAATCACATTCTGATGTTGTCGAAGGGAAAGGTCCCAGAAGTCTCCCTCATTCCGGAGCCCTTCTGCACTACTAATATCGATAAACTCACGTTCTTCACGCAAGACGCTACGGATGAATAAGATTCCGCACACAATTGCCTAGATCTCCTACGCAACTTACACCCGTATATCAAAGTAAATCACTTTGAGTACTTACTCACTACTACAGTAGTAGTAAGTAAGTACTCAAAGTAATTTACTAGTAGTACTACCATTACTTCAAGTAATATCAACAGGGAAATAACGAAGCACGAAGGAGTCTAGACGGATATGATCACAATTGGAGACGACTGCCCAGGTCGTGGTAATGGTACCTCCACGCCCCTTGGGGTGGCATAGCTGCCCCAGATGGACAAATCGGCAGCATTATGTCATACCTTGGGGTGGCATAGCTGCCCCAGATGGACAAATGGGCAGCATTATGGCATACCTTGGGGTGGCATAGCTGCCCCAGATGGACAAATCGGCAGCATTATGGCATACCTTGGGGTGGCATAGCTGCCCCAGATGGAGAAATCGGCAGCATTATGGCATACCTTGGGGTGGCATAGCTGCCCCAGATGGAGAAATCGGCTGCATTATGGCATACCTTGGGGTGGCATAGCTGCCCCAGATGGAGAACACGGCAGCATTATGGCATACCTTGGGGTGGCATAGCTGCCCCAGATGGACAAATCGGCAGCATTATGGCATACCTTGGGGTGGCATAGCTGCCCCAGATGGAGAAATCGGCAGCATTATGGCATACCTTGGGGTGGCATAGCTGCCCCAGATGGAGAAATCGGCTGCATTATGGCATACCTTGGGGTGGCATAGCTGCCCCAGATGGACAAATCGGCTGCATTATGGCATATCTTAGGGTGGCATAGCTGCCCCAGATGGAGAAATCGGCTGCATTATGGCTTACTTTGAGGTGGCATAGCTGCCCCAGGTGGAGAGATCGGCTGCATTATGGCATACCTTGGAGTGGCATAGCTGCCCCAGGTGGAGAAATCGGCTGCATTATGGCTTACTTTGAGGTGGCATAGCTGCCCCAGATGGACAAATCGGCTGCATTATGGCATACCTTGGAGTGGCATAGCTGCCCCAGGTGGAGAACTCTGTCACGAACAATTTGTTGACCTTCGAATAAGTGTTAAGGGTCATCCTTAACACATCAGTTCGCATAAGCAAAACAGCTTTAAGGAAGTTCTCGGAGACTGGGGCCGCTATGCCAGACCATTAGAAATTGATATGTACCGTGCATATCACCGACTCCGTGATCACTACCGAAGCTGTGTCTACCACCGATTACGTGTAAAGTACTGACTCGATGACTACCTCTAATACTATAAGCAGTACTCTGGCCGATACCACCGTCGAGACTAAAGCTAGAGGATGTGATCAATACTGTGAAAGCATTGCTCCTGACAGCTTTTGTATGACTTATAAGTTGCCCAACGTCTGTTCGGCAACTGATGTGCCATGCAACTGTGACCTCTGATCTTCTCTCTTTCCAATAGTCCACATGCCTCAGACAAGATGCCTTTGTTGATCTTTCCATCTGTTTCTGATCAATTTCAATCTTGTGTTTATATCATCAGTCATTCAATGTGTATATTCTAATGCTTATTATTGGCACCTAATCAATAAGACGTTCAAGTTATTGGCTCTGTAGAGTTTTCTCGGATTCGATGCGAATGCAATATTGTTGACTTCATCTTCACTCCAGCAGAGTCGCACTTATCCTTCTTATTATTCTCAGCGACAGAGAATCTCAGGAGATACGTTCATGGGAAAAACATCTCCATTCGATAGGGATTAGTGGTTTATGATCACTCATCCTGGTAAAATTTCATGATGCACGTAGTCCCAAATAACAAATCACAGAAAGTTTTCCACAGGCATCCCAGCATGAGACTCGTACGCGAGGCGCATTGGCAATACCAGATCTTAGCTGTTGCTGTGACAACAGCAGAGATGTCGGCCTCAATCTATTCCCTCCTGTTGTAGGAGGGAATTGATCGAGGCCGACAGATTCCACACAGCTATTGGACCGTCCAATAGCTGATCATTCTATCGTCCAATTTGGACGATAGAGTGATCAGTAGTTCCGATTTCAGTCATAGCTCGGCAGAGAGGTTGTAGCTTATGAATATTCCTGAGACAACCACTACGTGAAGGTTTCCAAGCAGAAAATCTCCTCCCCCATCGGCGGCCTCGTGAACACGTTCAACAGAACAATGCTCGAAGTAACAGCATATGCTCTTTTTGGGGTGCCGAACATAGCAATACTACAAAAATGAGGTACATAGACGGGGTATGTACCTATATTGTATTGCTATGATAGCCCTCAAACTCGAAAAACTTTGAGACGTGGATTACAAAAGTCCAGTAAGCAAACTTATCGACGAGAGTTCTACTAAACAATGTCTAAAACCCTCTCATCGTCATGCTCTGCGTTCAACGCGTGATCCTCGCAGTTGGCTTAGCGTTGCTCAGTATTACTGAGTCAGTAAGGGACAGCGTTGGAATAGACTATATTCGCTTTCCCCAAGGGGTTCATATACGACGATGTCACCGACACATGTAGTTGACCATTTGCCTATTTTCTCACATTTTGAGCAATGTTGCGGCTAGATCCATCGTTCACTGACTCTTGAACGGTCATTCTCTTGGAATAGCTATTGATAACTAACTCTTGTGCAACCCAACATTCACTCCTTTCGTGACAAAATATCAAAAAAATCGAAAAATCAAATTCCAATTATGAACCACTGAAGGAGGTAAGATGTTCGGCGCATGAAGAGCTCCGAAATCACGAAATCCATAACATGTTTCACGAATCAGAATCGCTATTCCTACGCATCGCGGACTCAACTCGTAGTTTCACGGGCTCTCAAGCTTTCCTCAAGAAGTCCAATCAGGAATATACGGAAGAGGAAGTCAACTGGTAAATCACGATCGCAGCACGATTCGAACGATATACCTGTGAACTTCACAATGCACATATGTTCACAAGGAGGACAGAGTCGGAAAGTACCATCACGAGCAAACGAACCTATGAAGA